TGGAACAGTCTGGCCCTGAAAACCTCGATGTGATCCTGGGCACAGTATCAGCATGGTTACGTGACATGTATCCATTTGCAATTCCGGCAGATTTCGAGCCCATCCTCAAAACTGCCCTGTCTGGGAAGTTGTGTGGATTATCCGACCAAGTTGGTGGCTGTGATCCAGAGACTCTGCAGTTGGTGAGGCTCGAATACAGCCAAGATGGTTCATGGAGACGGTTGGTTTTGTGTTACATCTGGATTTTCATGGCACTGACGATGAAGGGAACTCCTACAAATCTTGCAGCATGGAGTCTGGACAACTACGCGGAGCTGAGGAAAGGTCCAGATGAAGGAGGCCAGAGTTTTGAGAACTTTTGCTCTCGTTTCCGAGCACTGAAGTCATGGGTCTATAATGAAGGCGAGGTGGCAAAACTTAGCGATTTGGACCGCGGGGCTTTGTTTCAGCCAGGCCTGCAGGATGTGCATGTTGTCAACATGCCACTGCAAGTGGCCAAAGCGCAGAACTAGATGGCAACCACCGGGGCAGACTTTTTGCGCAGAAAAAAACAGCGGGGGAAGACTTCGGCGTGTAACGCTTAGGGTTTCTTTTCCCTTGTGTTTAGGGCATGTTGTGAATCGAACTACGCGTTGGCCGTTTTGCTCCTAGCCTTGACCCAAACCTGCGGTTTCATTTTGAAACGGGTCAATGTGCCTCCTGCTCCAGGCGCACCAGTGCCCTGGAAGCAGTGCAACTTTCAGCAATCCCGGTAAAAAGAACTGCGGCCGCTTCGGATGAGCTTTGTTCTTTTGAGGTTTCATGTTTGGGTTCAAGCTAGGAGCAGTGCAACGTGCCTTAACGTGAAGTTGAAACTGCTTGATGGACGCTCGGTGCAGATCAGCGATGAACAGAGGCCAGGCTTTTTGGCCGAGTGCATACAGTGCAAGCAAGGAGGCGCAAAGGTGAATGCAGCCATGCTTGACGAGGAGAGAGCAAAGAGCTGTGACAAACAGGACTTCCTGCTAGTGTTGTGTACAGGAAACAAAAATATAGGTCTTGAAGACATGCCCAGTATGACTGGCATTGTGCAGGAATCTGCAAGCAGACCAAGCCAAGCAGATGACCAACCAAAAAATCGTTCGACCGTGTACACTGATAGGACTCATGGAAAGGCAGCCGACTGTGCTTAGCCCAGAATCATACGAGTTGCCACAAGAATCAAACGGTGGTCTGCCAAACAGTCAACCGCCAAGGATTTCAGAAACCTGCAACATACCTTTTCAAGGTTTCAGCCTACTCCAATTTGCATCCCGCAAGTTTTTGCCATGGTGAGTGAACTCGCTGGGGCCTATGCGATTACCACAAAATTGTGGGGCTGTACGCCATAAACCCTCGCCAACGCCAAAGCTTTCCAATGCAGTTGTGGAGATGGCACAGGCGCCCATCAAAGCCGTGTATTGAGGCATATGAAGCACGTGGTTGGAATTGTCTCGCATGGCTGTTGCGCCCACATTGGCTTGCATTCCAGTCATTTGTCTCTGCCATAGGTGCCAGCAGAGTATCAAAATAAACATGAGCCTCCGGGGGAGAAAAAAAAACAAGGTAAAACCAACAAACGTAGAACGGAGCAAGCATTTGTTTTCTTCCTTCGATGTTATTGCATTAACTTGAACTGCATTACAGTTTCGTGACATTGCGGTGCGCAGCATTACATTACAGTACATTCCCCCCCTCCCCCTCCGCCACCCCAAAAAAAAGAAGCGAGCAAGCAAACAAACATGGCAACAAAAGCATGGAATTGAAACAAGCAAATAACACCTCTCCCCCAACCCCATTCGCTTTGCCGGTTCCCCAGCGTTCCCACTGTGCCCGTTCCACGCCGCGCTCCTCCATGATGCCCAGCATAGCCCCGGAGTCCCCTAGGTTTGCGACCTGAGAATTGGAGGAGGTTTTTTCTCCAGAGTTCCAGGGAGGTCGTCCAGCAGCTTGGCAAGGTGTCTGGCCAAGAGGGTCGCGGTGTCAAAAGAGCCTACGGATCTGGTGATCATCCCTATGTTGGCTAGCAGCTCTCGGCTTCCAATGACCCACACAAAACAACGAGCGCTTCAAGTTTCTGTCTTGAAGTGCGGCATGTAGCGACTCAACCTGTGGGGCGCATACATAGAAATATCGATATTTGCGCGTGTATGTACACATATAATATTCCAGGGCTTTGTCAAGGTAGGTTGGCTGTTTTGGGGCCAGCTGCGGCTTGGCTTGGGTGAGTTTGGGATTGTTTTTGGGCTGGCTTGTGTCAGGTTTGGCGCTTGTGTTTGCACGGCCTATGGCTGCGTGCGGGTTGGTTGCATTGCGGCTGGTGATCCCACCAAGCCATGAGCCAGCCCCAAACCGGACACAAGACAGCCCAATGCCACCCCAAAGTTGTTAAATCAGCCCTAAACAGCCAAGCCCCAGCTAGCCCCAAAACAGCCTAACGCAAAGCTTGACAAAGCTCTTCAACACTTTAACTTTATACAAAGCCTTCCCTCTACCTGCCGCGCGCAACGAAGTCAGCTTGAAACAAGCGCTGCAGCGTGAGATTCTCAGGAAAGCGCAGTTAGCACGTCATCCGCCAGCAGGACCATCACCCCCGTGCAGCTGGAATAGTGGTTCCTGGGGAGGGGCGGAGCATGGCAATTGCTCCAGGACAGGGCCTCGTTTAGTCAACACACAAACTCAGAACTTGCCCACAGTGCAAGCCGAGGGTCTGCGTTTCCCGGCAGTGACAAATGAGCTCCTCGCATGCAGCGAGGCTTCAAAACAAGTCGATAGGTTCCGAAGAGTTGTCCCCAAATCCGGGGTGCTGTGATTGTTGTTCGCTTGGACCAATCATCACTGCCAGGACCGGGGCCACCACCTGCCCTTCTACTTCTTCTTCCTCTTCTGCTTCTGCTTTCTTCTTCGTCTTCTCATTCTTTGTGTTCTTCTGCTTCTTCTTGTTCTAGTTGACAATCACCCTCGCAATTGCATTGTTTCTCAGCAACGACCAAAAAAAAAAGAGACAGGAAAGGGTCAAAGAGACTCCACGACATTCGCGCAACCACGCACCAAAAAAAATCGGCTGAGCAGAGTCTTCGCCCGTTTTTTGCCGAAGTTTCGGGTGTTACTGGGCGAAATCCATTTCGCACCACCTGGAAACCCTGCGAAACGCTTTTCCGTTGGTAGTTACAAGGGAATCATCATTCCAGGGTTTCTTAGGTGGTACAGGATTTCGTCAGTGTCTTGGGGGGACCCTCTCTTCCCCACCCAGGCCACACTCCTCGTCAGCTTGTATAATCGCGTCTCGCATGCCCGCAAGCTCGGGTCAGCTTTTGTGGACTGCAGTGAAAGCTTTTCCAACCAATCCTGGGACCCGTCCCATTTAGCTTGGTAAGAGCTGGAGGATTGGTGTTGTTTGGGGTGTTGAGCCTCAGCGAGAGAGTTCAGGCAGGCTGGACACTTCTTAGGGTTTCGGGTCTTATGGGCACAAGTGAGGCCATTTTGATCTCGCAAATTTGAGCGTACTTTGGTTAAGGTTTAGAAAGATTTGGGAAGAATCTGCGGTTGTGAAACTCTTAGGGTTTCGGGTCTCTGCGAGAAGGATGCAGTTTGCCCAAGGAGCCTTTTGAATTCATGTGAGTTTGCGGCTTTGCCGTTTTCTTTTTGTTGGGAGGAACGCGTGCATAGGGTCTAGAGTGAGTAAGTAGCATTGGACATTTTGATTGAAAGTTGAAAGATTGAGAGGCGGGCGCGAATTTTGGCATTTGAATCTGTGACGTTCAGAGTGCTGGATTCTAGTTAGGTAGGATTCACGGTTGTGAAAGTTTTAGCGGACAGTTCCTCAGGAACAAGTAGGACTAAGTACCCTTTTGAATTCAAACAAATAGAACTTGACAAGAGTTGCGAGTTGTATGGCCTTAGCGCATTTCTTGTTTGGGGTCTTGGCATGAGGGGAGCGGATAGACTACATCTTTTGGATCTCAGAAGCTGCGAGTTGGAAATGGGCACCACTGTTGCTCAAGTCTTGTGAGCAAAGCAAGTACGGTTGAGTGCCGCAACCATGTGACAGAGTTGGAAGTTGGAATGGTGAGTTGAGTATTTGTTTTTGTTTCGGGATATGCGCTCCTTAGGGTCAAGGGGGTGCACGTGAAGCAAGTAGCATCAGCCGCCATGTTGATCTCACAACCTTGAGAGTTGGAAGATTCAGACGTGGTGGCGGTTGCGTTTCAGCTTTGAATTTGTGCCCGCCAGGTGTTGCACATTGGGGGACGAGTCATAGAAGACACAGCAACATGTGCAATGAGGTTTTGCTTTTGCCGAATAGATGTTGGTGCCTGCATGGAGCAGATCTGAGGGTTCCAAGTGACTTCCAAGCTCAACTCAGGCGAGGTTGGGTTTGGCCGACGTGACACGCACAGATCCGTCGTGTTGGATGCGCGGGTTATCTACAGGGTCCTACAAAAGCTCTGGACGGTGTGTCTCTGTGTGTGGCTTCAGTCCCTCACTTGGGTGCGCATTCCTGATTTTGTGGAAGTGACTGCAGCAGGTCCACTTTCTCGCAAAGCTCCCAATTTTTCAAGGGCTTTGGTAGCAGATGTGATTTGCTAGCTCGGCTGAGTTACTGCTAGGCAACTTCACTCGAGTTGCTGGGATGCTCTTGGAGTACTGCAGCCTTTTGCGCTCTGTAGAGTTTGACAGGTGCCAACACCTGGTGTCAGCTTGGCTTAGAGCAGGTTTATGACTGAAACCATTTGGATCCCTTAAATTCACAGTGGCTGATGGGTCTGCAAACTGCTTTCCACATCAGGCAAGCAACTCCGTCTATCCAGCGGGTCCGCTGGACATGTTTGCACCCCTTAGGGC